GGCGTCCTGTCCAGGGTGTGTGTGTGCCCTGTGACGGACTGGCGTCCTGTCCAGGCTGTACCCTGCCTTGCACCCGTGCTTGCAGGGACAGGCTCTGGCTCCACTGTGACCCTGTACTAGATGAAGCACTTAGAAAACGGGTGGAAGAATAAGTTGGATGAATTAAAAAAAACAGGTTGTTACACACAAAAAATATTAATCTGGCCCAGGAGACAACACAGCAAAGACTTGATTTTTGGCACTGAGGCACTGCAACAATGGTGAGGAGCACACAGTTATTATGCAATACTCTGTTACGTTCTGATAGGCAGTTTGGTAGAGTATGTTTCATTTTGTTTTGCACAGACATCCCCTTTTCAAAGCAGCTGTCACACACAGACATATGTACATCCATTCATTGATTTATCTTTCATGTAAGACTAATCAGTTTGCAATAACGCTATCACTGTAGCGTTGTGCTCTATCAAGGATAACTTCAACCCCTGCTTATTCTTGGGCTAGACATTAAAAATAATGGTTTGTCTTTGTGTTCTTATACTTAATTTGCCTTATGCTCAAGGATAACAGATGTCTGCTCAATATTAAGAAAAAACACCATCTGATTCCAAGATCGCAGTGATCACGTCAGGCATATTTTTCATAATCCTTTAGGAACTGTTGCTATGCATCTAGGCTGCTGTCTTACTAATTAGTTATTTTAAAAAAGATGCCTTGTTGGAGGACAAGCCTGATTATTAATTAATTCTGATCACTGTAGTGCAACTATTATAGAACAGCAGGCTGATAATATTACTTTGATCTAACAGTAGGTAGTGTCCCTTAATGTTGTACAGTATATTCAGAGAACTGTACATTTTACCTTTCTGAAAGCATTAGTAAAATATAGTATTAAGTACAGGTAAAACATGGATAATTTTAGTACACATTTTAACAGTTTAATGCCTCATAACCATTAGAGCTACTCTGTGTCTTTATGTGTACCAGCGCACCTCAATGTGCCCCTACCTGAAGAATGTATGATGCTCCACACACACCTTCCACAGCCTCTTAGCAGCCCGATGGTTCGGTAATTTAAAGCCAATAGTGCTTTCAAATTGCTCAAACTGGAGAAGAAGCAAGAACAAGGTTTTTCCTCATTAAAAAAAGGTCCAGCTCTCATTTGCAAAACATGCTAGGTTAGGAGGACTCTCGATTTTAAGCCATTGTCCCAATTTCGGCTTTGAATTATAAATACAGGATGTCTCAGTTTTCCAGTTTCCAGTTTTCACTTCCGCTGACCTTTCCTGCTTGTCAGATCTCAAAAGGGAACAAAATGAGTCTCCCCATGTTTGAATGATAACGGAGTGTGTTTTAACAGGGCCTTGAAGAGTCTGGCTGTAGGAGCATGACAAAATGAGGAGGGTTCACTGCTGGAGAGAGTGGTGAAACCCGTTAGTTTCAGGCCAGTGTAAGTGCCCAAAATGAAGGAGAAGGGGCCCATTTATTTTATATTTAAAATTAAAGATATTATTGAAAACAAAGGTAATGAAACATCAATAATCCCACAGCACACAGGTACCTCTAAAGAGCTAGTCAATTCTCTTCCTAGCCGTTTTGTAGAGTGCAGGGAGATCAAATACGCTTGAGAAGGCAAGATGGCATACACACCAAAGGCTGTGCCGCCTCAAGAGTCAAGATTTATTTTGACTGCATTTCTTTAAACTGGTGAAAGGGCAAGGCTTTAACCTGAATCATGGACTGAAAAATGGAGGGCTACTCATAGCATTGTACATATTTTCTGTTATGTGATGCGGAAGTAAAAAATTCAGAGAAGTTTTTCTTGAATCCCTAGCGTAATCCCAGTTAATGTAGGTCGCATAATTATAGTGCCAGGAAGCAATTTCCAAACCCATTTCCCCTTCTGCGATTTCATAACAGTGTAAAGTGATTATTCACAATTATGTACTTAGTTATAACACGTAGATTAGCAAAAACAATTCTCAACATCACAGTCGCCACGATGCTTAAATTACTATTAGATTAATAATATAAAATAATATTACTCATATTTACTCAAGACAGGTATTTTAATTTACTAAGAACTTAATGCTTGTCATATAACAATCATTGATCTGTTATCATCATCAAGGCAAAAATTGACACATTTCTCTGTTGATAAAATTTATATTTTATCAATAAATTTATATTTGTCTTGTGATCTGTAAAACTAGAGCAAATTAATGAAAAAATTAATGGCATACATCTTTAATTTTGCCTTGTGCTGCTCCTTAAATGTGGTGGTTCCTACAGGGTGAAGTAATAAGTCCGTGCATAGAACTGTGAAACCATTTTGTGCTTTAGCACATTATAAAGTAATGCAACACATCAGATAACCCACAAGGATTAATTTTCTCCCCAAATTCCAACACCATTCCTTACCTCCCCAGGCCGGATTTTAATGTAAAAGTTGTTCCTTTTGTAAGAAATCTTGAGGACCTTGGGCCAAGCGAACCGATTTATTCTCAGCCTGTCTCGGTAGATCAGAAGACCACTGGCACAAACTCCAAGCATGATGTCCACTCCTTCAGAATCCTGCGCAATTAATGTACCGTTAGCACTGAGCGTGGCACTCATTTCTCATCGGCAACCGAAGGCACAGAAAGGGGAAAAAAAACAAGTGCTCGGCACCAGGTGTCTTTTTGAGCACGGTAACAATAAAGTTCCCAATAATCAAAGAGCAAATTATCTACGCAGACATTAAAACAAGAAACCAGGAATGTCTTCTGCCTTTATTTTTCTAATATGGTGTAAATAATATCAGGCTTAGGTAATATTTTCTTAATATTGTATAAATCAAGGTTTACAGCAGAAAAGAAACATAAAACCGTGGACAAACTGAGCTCATCTGAATGCACAAAGATCAAATAGTCCTCACTGTGCAATTAATTCACAGGTTCTCTGCAGCTGTTTCACTTCATTTTAAATTGCAACTTCTGTCAAGGATGAATGTAGAACGTGTGCAGAGCAGGAAACTAATGCATGTCAGTGGAAAATTATTTCTAGCAGCTTATGCAATCTTCAGGGATGCTCTGCTACTACCTTAAATTTAATTTGACAACGTTTTCAGCCTACACCTTGTCGCTGACACCTTGGTACCTCACAGTTTCACTTTGTAAGAGAGAACATTCTTGTTGAAATGTTCCTTTGCCTTCATAGTGTAGTTTTTGCTGGAGGCTGTAGAAATAAACTGGCCAGCAGCCGCATCACTCTGCAACTCACAACTGGCAACCCACTGAAGCTCAGCAGTGTGAGCCTGGTCAGTACCTGTAGGGGAGACCTCCTGGGAAAGCTAAGGCTGCTGCTGGAAGAGGTGTTAGTGGGGCCAGCAGGGGGCGCTCACCCTGCAGTCTGTGTGGGTCCTACTGCCCCAGTATAGTGACGGGGACACTATACTGTAAACAGGCGCTGTCTTTTGGATGAGACGTAAAAACCGAGGTCCTGACTCTCTGTGGTCACTAAAAATCCCAGGGTGTTTCCCAAAAAGAGTAGGGGTGTAACCCCGGCGTCAGATGTGTTACAGCAAAGGGGGTGAATACTTATGGAATCATCCGTTTTCTGTTTAATATTTATAATTCATTTAGAATGGTCTGCAGAATTTTGTTTTCACTTTGACATTATAGCGTGGTTTGTATCTATCAATGGCAGAAAAATACCAATTGGATACATTATGATTCCATACTGTAATATAATCGCATGAGAAAACGTCCAGGGAGAGTGAATACTTCTGACAGCCACTGGATGTGACAAACAGAACACAGCTCAGTTAAGCTGACAGTCCTTGCTGCATCTCATTTTGATCAGAATCTGATCATTTCTGTCTTCTTACCTGCAGCGACGTTGCAAATGAAAAGCAGCAGACAATAACCATTCCTGGCATGACCCAGAAATGCACATTAAAGTCTGCCCTGGGCAGACCAGGGCAAGGGGAGTCTGGCTCAAGCTCTTTGAAACAGGCAAAAGCAGCCTGTATGGTTTGTATGGGAGCACACTCACCCTCAAACCATCCATTTCCAGTGAAGCAGTGATGATTTTCTAACAGCAAGCCACAATTCCTAATGCCATTTTGCAGCTACCCAGCCACAGGGCTAATGATGAGGTCTAGATCTAAGGTCATGCAGAAGGTATAGATATAGTATATAATGTAGTCTTACCTCCACAGTTGGAGTCAGACACTCAAAGATGCTCCCTATTAACTAGGCCATTTAACAAAAAGAGAAGATACATGCTCATCTAACCAAACTGTTGGATAATTCTTTTAAATTCTTAGTATGGATGCAAAACATTTTCTCTGTCAGAGTAAGGCCCTTTTCATTCTCAATTTATAATACCATGGTGTTGGTGTGGTTTTTTTGTGTGAATGGGCATCTTCAGTTAAAACTCAGCCTGCATACGTTTAAATCAGTAATATGCAGCTTTGATGTACAACAGCTCAGCAGCTTAATCACATAAATAATAAATGCCTTGTGCATCCAAATAGCACCTGTTGAATGTATGACATAAGGGCCTAATGCCAAATTTCAATCCACAATCTGAAGCAGTGAACCAAAACAGATTTTTTAAATCTAATGAGTCAAACATATACCGTAGAACTCTGATTTGTTTGGAAAACCGATATCTGATGTATTCAGAACATATGTGAAACTACAGTTTTCCCAACATTAACTGGCAACTAGGAAAAATGCTTGATAAATTCTCCCCACAGGTGCTATTTGCTGGCAGAAGGAAGCAAGTCAAATGAGGTCATGTCAGCTTTAACCTTTGACCTTTGATATACTGAATCCCTGCCTACATCTGAGTGCATTAAGTCCTGAAACACTAGTGTCAGTTACCTTGGCATGATGGAGATCCACTCCATACATAGACAGCTTTTTGGCGTTCTCCAAAAAATGCATCTCTGCTTCAGCAGGAGTCATTCCTCTGGCAGGATTAGAAGAAAATAAATAAGCTCTCATTAGTGTTTATCTCACACCTACAGTATATACCATGGAAAAAACAACAAAATATCTGGGGTTTGTGTTATGGCCAAACCTGTGAAAAACAGTGTTTGTGTCTGAAAGGAGAACAAAAAGATGATTACTACTCTCTACATCACGTTTTCTTTAAGCAAAAACTGAACCCCAAACACTTCACAGTTGAAGAGCTAAAATAAAAACTTATGCTTGCACACTGAAATGAAGAATTTAAGTCCCATCTTTGTGCCTTCAATTCTTCAGCATCAAATGACAAATAGTGTGACATCACAGGAGTAAGAGATCTCAAAGAACTTTTGCGCCAATAACATTTTTTATTGGGATAACTCCACGGTGACCTGTGTTGCAAGAACACCAAAATCAATGCAATCCTCTCAACTTTCAGTTCAGCAACACTCATTCCCTACCTGGGAAATGTCACTCAAATATGCATTAAAATGGAATCTATGCTATGCACCGGCCTAAAGTATCGGCAGATATCCACCCTGTGAGCACAGCTGGGCCGATACTTAAGAAGGCAACCTTGGCCAAATAACAACATCTCTGATCTAACAGATGCTGTATGAATTCAACAGAAAGGTATTCCTGTGGTTACATGAGTCAGTCTCTCTGCCCATCCACAGCCACTCGCATGCTTGTGTTCAGCTAACAAAGGAGGCTAGAAATTCATTACTGATGCACCATCTGACCCGAGGGCACACATGGCTTTCCCTCTTGTCAGTCAGAAGAGCTTTCTGATGTTGCAGCCAAAACATTCAGAAAAAACAACATCTCGCAATGGGATTTCTGTTTGTAAAGTGAGTATATACAGTGGGTTGCCAGCAGCCATATCACCCTGCAACTCACAACTGGCAGCCCACTGAAGCTAAAGGTGTGAGCCTGGTCAGTACCTGGATGGGACCTCCTGGGAAAAACTAAGGTTGCTGCTGGAAGAGGTGTTAGTGGGGCCAGCAGGGGGCGCTCACCCTGCAGTCCATGTGGGTCCTAATGCCCCGGTATAGTGACGGGGACAGGCGCCATACTTCGGATGAGACGTAAAACCGAGGTCCTGACTCTCTGTGGTCATTAAAAATCCTGTTTCTTGAAAAGAGTAGGGGTGTAACCCCGGCATCCTGGCCAAATTTCCCATTGGCCCTTACCAGTCATGGCCTTCTAATAATCCCCATCTATGAATTGGCTTCATTACTCTGCTCTCCTCCCCACTGATAGCTGGTGTGTGGGGAGCGTTCTGGTGCACTATGGCTGCCGTCGCATCATCCAGGTGGATGCTGCACACTGGTGGTGGTAGAGGGGAGTCCCCATTACCTGTAAAGCGCTTTGTGTGGAGTGTCCAGAAAAGCGCTATATAAGTGTAAGCAATTATTATTATATACAGTACAGAGTTCTTCCCACTTACACCAGCCGTTTTGCAGGCAATGCTGTGAGCTACAGCCTTTTCCCATCATCTCAGAGTCAATAATAAAGCCATCTTTTACACAATTCTCCACTCTCAAGTCTGATATTTGGACCGGGTTATAGAGTGTCTACACAAAGTAGCACTGTCTCCAGCTAGACACTTAGATGCACTTTGAAAAGGATCCATTCTGGCTGCATAGAGCTTTGTTCTCAGTCTAAGGGCAGCAGAAAGGAGGTCCTTCAGCAAGTCACCTAAATTTATTCAGTTAAAATAAACAAAAGCTTTCATATAATTACAAACCATTTCTGTGTGTACGAGTCCATGCAGCAGGAGGCAAGCAATACTAGTGCTATCTTAACACTTGCTGTACGGTTTCCTATTCCCAGGGAATAATACAATGTGACAAAAAAGTTAAAGAATTATACTAACGAACGGATTTGAAACAATAACAAAAAGGTGCACAAACGTGTGTTGAAGAGCACCAAAATGGACACTGAGCCCTCCACATGATGTAGGTTACAGAAACAGGAAGGAAATTAAAGGAAACTTAAGCTTCTAATATTCCCATGAAAACACATGGAGATAGCAGTGGCAGGAAGAAGCAGTAGTGGTAAACTCCTCCTTTTTTATAAGTATGCCGTATAAAATGCAATAGTGGTACTCATGTTTAAAAAAAAAATCCTAACACATTTTTATATAAAATATAGAAATCCAACCCTTTTTAGCTTTTCCTCAGAGTATTAGAAAAGGTATCGTGAGTTTGCCTTTCCTGGACCTGACAGAGCTGGACCAATAAAGTACACCTGAGCGGGTACAGCTCACGACCTGTAAACCACTCTCTCGATATTAATACCAAGCCTCAGATATCCAACAGTGCTTGAAGAGGCATCGGGGGGGGGGGGGGGGGGGTAGGACTCACTTGTAGTTTTTGTGCAGATCCATGACTTTCTCCTCGAGCTCCTTGGTCTGGTTGGGGGCGAAGCGGAACTCGCTCACGTACTCGGTGCCGTACTCCTCCGGGTCGTAGTCGCCCAGCTCCGACTGCACGGTGTACGAGCCCAGCAGGGTGTGCGTGGCGAAGGAGCAGGGCAGGCGCCCCGAGACCACGTCGTCCCGCAGCTGCAGGCACAGGTAATATCTGAAAGGCAGGACATGTTCTGCGCATTAAATGGAGACTCCCGCTCAGACACGGTTATCTTAAAAAAAAGCATCTGTCAGCAGCACGCGTTAAAAAAAAAACGGCATACAGGCACTGCCTGGGTTACAGAACACACAGCGTAAACAAAGCGGAATGAAAGCAAAACCACTGCGAGTTAATTTAAATCATCCAATCCGAGTTTATTTTTAGATACTGTGCATGTGTAAGTGAGAAATACAGCGGTGCAATGCTTCATCAAATTAATTTAACCTACACGTTTTTATTTTTATTCCCCCAGCCTAATCTGCAGTTTAATCCAAGAATGACTTGTTTCATGTTATTGCAGAATGCGGTCTAATCATTACATTACGAAATAGGTTCATGCGAGCTAAGAAGTTCATAGAACAGAATAAAGCAGGAATCCCCCACTATCAAAGTATAAAATAGTAAACATGCATATGATTCAAGAATGAAATCCAACTTATAGATCGAAACAAAACCCTCATGTTAGTCAAGGACTATATACAATCATCTGTCCTGCTGACATAGTTAAAAAATAATGGTAATAGAAAACATTACATTTGTCTTTCATGTAAAATCCAATATGTTTTTGCTTAGAGTGCCGGTAGTTTTGTACATTGCTGAAGAGGTGTTTTTTTTTGCACTGTCTTACCTTGTGATGTCCTCAGAAAGCTGTGAGGGATCTGGGGGGTAAAACTTGACGTTGAAGGCAAAGTTCCAAGGACCACCTGTAAGACAAGACAGCTCTCAGCCCCCAGGAATTCTGCGGTCAGGGAAAGATCAAGCTGAAAACAATTCGCATAAAAACCATCCCTCGGACTACAGTCGAAAGAAAATCCGAAGCCTCCAAGTTTGAAATGATCATTGTGGATGTCAAAGGCTGCTTCACTTTCATTTCTACATTTCTCTGGACCATTCATAAAACTGGAGCTATAGTTTTAAGCAGCATCTTTCACAAAATAAAATGAACTCTTGATCTTTTCTTTGAGAACTGAAACCTACATCAAACAATTTTGCTAGAGGCGATTTAAATATATAGCTCTGAAAATTATCTAGAAGAATCTGCAAATCCTTGATTTTTTTACATTAAAAAAAGAAGAGAAATATGAACAGCAATTGTATTTTGTGCTAAAATATCCAATTGTCTTTTGAAAAAAATCAGTAGAAATTTTGCTCTGCAGCTAAATCTACATCTATGTCTGTACTTTAACGATGGTGTTAAATAATGAGAGGTAAATTGCACTGTATTTTTCATGTTCATGCCCTTGATAAAAATCTTTAAGAAAGTTACAAATGATGACTAATAAGGAGTTGTTTTCCTTTCTTAAAATAGCCAAAAGTCCATTGTCTAATTTACTAAAAGCTGGTATCAGCAACATCCAATCTGTTTTTCTCATTTTGTCAACTCTCAGTGCAGACTTAACAAAATGGCGAATTCCGTTTCCCACATTCAGTGAAACTACTCAATCAATAAAAGAGTTAACAAGCAAGAAGTATTGGTTTATGGCAAAGTACAATCAGTGGTTACGTGCAGGAATGAAGGGGTGATGTGCAATTATTTACAGGTGCTTAGGATGACTGTGTGTGAAGGACACTCAGGTTCCTGTGCAGCTGTATGGATTCCTGTAGCATTGTTGTGTAAGGACTATGTATAGGTTAATGTCTGTTGTTTAATGTAATATCTGTTTTTAATACATAAAATTTAATACTCATATCTGTTTATTGTTTATTTGTACAGCCTGTAATTTTATGATAAACTTCATGTAAAACAGCTGTTGGATCCAACACAAATTTAAAACAAATCAGATCAACAAAGTATTATTGGATTGCATCATTTAAAGTTTAAAGAGAAGTTTCAAAGTGTAATGACAGCTAAACAAAAATAGAAAGGAGCCAGATAACGGACTCAGCCTGGTCTAAACCTTGTTCATGTCCTGTGCTACCAATCAAGCAAACCTGTAACCATACATGAGGAAAAGAGACTGAAAGGTGTTTTAAGTTGGAAAATCATCTTTGAGAAAAACGATCTAAAAAATCTAAAACGTACATACCATATTAATGTATAAATATACAAACAACATAAATTGGTCACAGTTGGACTAGTTATACTAAACAAGGTACCAAACTCGGAGCAGTGCTAAATCAACAGCACTGGAGGGGGAGGTCTGGAAAATATTTACATTATGTTAGGGAAGAAGGTGTTAAAACAAAAGTGTAAAAACTTACTTCTTATTTGCTTTTTAATTTCCTTGGCAGGGTCCAACCAATTCTAAGACAAAAATTAAAAAACAAATCATTTCAAAATATACAGGTATCGAACAAAGCAGTCTTTTGCTGAATGTTAATTTTGTCAAGTGTTGAGTGAGCACCTCTAATACAAAATTTAACATTATAAGCATTACAGGGGGAAAAAACTGCTAAAATTCAATGATAAAACAGGAGATTACATTCTCCATAAAATGTACACAAAAATATAAAGCAAAAAAGAGGGTGCACTAATACTGTTCTGCCCAGCATGACAGCTTCTTACTGCTGTTGAAAAGCAGGTATTAGTAAACTGAACAGTAAATGTGCAGTCTTGTTTCTTCGGAATATCAGCGGGTTAGTAGTATGTTAATGGAACATCCTTGATAATCTATACTTTTAAGCATGAGTTACGAAGAACAGTCAATATAAAAAAGCAGTTTTCAAGCTTGGAATTGTATAACTTTTTTTAATTCAGTAAATGTGCATTCCCCATAGCTACTACCAACAAGTATACTTGTATACTACACCTGCAACTAGTATAATTATTATTTGTATATAACTTAGTAATTAGTGTAAAATTCCAGTCTAAGCTATGTCCATAATAAAACATTCTAGCAAACGCCCCTGCTATCTTGTTTATTTTGACTAGAGATGTTATCTGAATGTAGGAACAGATAAACACATGCTATGAATTTTTTTTTTAAATAACTTTTATCTTGTAGAACCCACATAAATCAAAACTAGAGTCCACAAAAGACCTCTTAAAGCTTTAATTCATTCCTCTATCGCATGAATGTCAATACACACAGCTGTTTTGAGAATTAGCAGAAAGCTTAGCTGATTAAGGTAGCAAAAATGTAAAAATATCCAACTGGTTTCTCATCTCCGTTCTCGCTTTGCAAGAGTAATTTCCAGCAGCTGGTGAAATGTGCGTTACACACCTTCTGGTTCTCCATGTCTCGGAACGTCATACCAAAGTAGTCCTTTTCCAGGAGGTTGAGCTGTTCACATACTTTGTCAAAAAGCATCTGGCCCCTGGAGCGCTTCTGTAAAGTCGGGGGAAAAAAAATACTTCAGCACCAATATGTACATAAAGCAAAACCAAACCAACACAGAACGCTTTTATCTTGGCTAAGCCAGAAGGACAACAGTGGAACTGAACCTCTCCCAATTCCTCCACTCAATCAACACTGTACAATACTACGACTAATCGCAGCTCTGCATACAAACCCTCACTCACTGTATTCACGCAGTGTATGGGGAGAGCATTTTTTATATGAAACGATCCAGCCACGTTTTGTCTTCGAAACCCATCATCACAAGATGCAAAAATCCCCAAGAAAGGTTCCTGGCAGCACACCCTCCCCTCATCCCCGTGTCCTCTTGCTCTCTAACCTTGGCTGAAACCGGGCAAATAAAAGACAGGAGGTTTTCTTAAAGCTAGACAAGGCACCAAGCCAATTAACCACCACACCGACATGCAGACTACAAACCCAGAACAAGCAGCCTTGCCAGACGGTTTCTCAACTCAACTACCATATTCTAGGACAAATATCAGTTCATAAATTTAGAAGGTACATAACTGTCAATTTAGCACAGTTTCATAAAATAATATGACACCTGAAACATTGTGTTTTCTTTCTTCTTTTTTTCCAGCATGGAATAAACCTGTTACTTGCTCATAAAATAATTATCTGCTGAGGAGGGGCACCAATACTTAGACCTGTGACAGTGGCTCAGTAGTCTTCCCCAGTTAAAAAAAAAAACAGTTCTAGAGTCAGTCTGGCTGATTAACAGTGGGCAATCTGAGGGCGAGGAACATAAAAAGAATGAGAATAATGCAAATTCCAATTATATAGGGAGCCACAGCACAAAAGGAACAGCCCAGTTCCCTATTTCCTATTGCAAAAGCCCACTTACAATAAAGCATGGGGAACAGTGGGGCTTGAGCATTCTTAATTACTGTAGGTCTGGAGAAAGCGTCCTATTACACAAAACTGTTCATCACCACCCTGTGTGGGAGGTGGGCAACATGACACCCAAGGAGACATGAAGACAGTGACATGCAAACGGTATTTGCTCCGTCTGTAGAAACACACAAGAGAAAGCCTTTTCCCTATATCCAGGAAACATGGCAAGCACAGAAAGAGTGGGGAATGGGACTGTACTGTTCAGTCATTAAATCCAGTTCTTCCAAAGATGGGAACATCCCCAACACCAAAATGCAAATCCTACCTGTGGTCTTTTGTAAATATATACATGCTGTATTATTAATGCAGAATGAACACAAGCACATTACTATCCTCATCTTACCATTTAAAAAGTGCTTCAAGGCTACAGCTGCATATTTATTTAATAACCTTTAAGGCAAGTGTGGATGGGGTAGTTAAATGGTGAATTCAGGTTGGGTGTTCTTAAATTTTTTCTTCATATTCTGAAACACTTAATACCAAAACGCACAGAACACAACTGATATTTCTAAGGAAAGTCAGTGTGGTGTTTAATGACCCATTAAAAAACCCACAAGCAAACATACTTTCAGCACTAGCAAAGAGGTCATGAGACAGGATGTTTCCCTGGGTTAAGTGAGCAATCTCCCTGAAACAAGGTAACCACTTGTTTGGAGAGCAAACATGTTACCATGGTAGATGACAGTCTGCTGCTCAGTCTTGCTTTGATTCAGCACAAGATACTAAGGGAAGGCTGGTTATTGCATCATACCAAAGCTGTTGACAACAGAATAGTGAATAAAAACCTGGAAACCTTTTTGTGACCAGATTATACTCCTTTGAACAGGAAACAGAAATGTCTGACTTGAGGGCCAGTACTTATGGCTGCGCAAAAAGGCAGCAGATAATCATTTCTGCTTTAAGAACACTAGAAATAAAAAGCACAGAAAGGCACTAAGGGAAAAGTGCTGTGCTGAAAGAGGAGCGTGTGTTTGGGAGTGGGGGAGGGGTCGAATCATGTACCTACAGCAGGGTCATGTTATTTTCTTACTTTCTCTGAATGATAAAACTTGGAAAGCACAAGGGAAAAAAAACATTCAAGTACAAATTCAAATTGTCAAAACGTCTTGCATTGTGCTGCACTGTAAAACGCCTTGGTGTACTTTTGTAAAATAATGCCTTGAATGGCAAGTCTAACACAAACGGAATTGTTAAATTGTTCGATTCCCTGCGGGCAACCAGGTTGCGACTGGTGATAGTGGTGATGTTAATGAAATTAAATGCAGACTACAATAAAAACAAGATAAATAACGGGTGTTGAACAATGCAGCTGATGCGAACTTTAAGGCTTGCACACTGTGGGAGATAATATTTGGCATTTGTTTTGTGAGCCGTATGAAGCTATAGGCATACAGATCACAAAGAACACAAAGGAACTCTCAGCTTCATACGGTGCACAAAACACGTTATTGTGTCCCACGTTTAAGATTTTAATGCTGAAAAGAAATACTGTAGGTGTACATAGTTCCCTTCAAATTGATTCAATAGGAACAAACTTAAAATAACTGACAAATGTACAGTTTAAAAAATGTTTTCTGCTTAAAAAAATCAAGAAAATATTACAGTGATCTTAGCACATCTTATTAGATTGATCCACAAGTAATATTTGACAAAACTAATTAAGTCTAGAAAGCATCAGGGTCAGGTGATCTTAAAAGCTGACCAAGTGGAAATATGTAAGGGCCACAGTATTGAGCCCTGAGGAACATGTAATGAGTCCAATTTCTGACCTAAATCCACCAAGAGAGACAAAGTGACAGCGATCAGTGAGGTAAGACATCAATCATTTGAGGGCAGTGTCAGAAACTCCAAATGCAGTCTCAAGACAAGAAAGTAAGATATCATGGTTAACAGTGTTGAAAGATTCATTTTTTATAGCCATTTCCACAATTCTAGGGGTTAATAATTATTTGCCTGATAGCTGTCTTACCTTAACCATGATGGTTATTGCTCCTGTTGAACATTTCCTGTTTATCTCCTCCATATACAGTTCACCCCAGGGAAACAGAAAGCCTTCTGAGACTTTATTTACTTAAAGGAATACACAAAGGCGTGAATAAATGTGCCCCTCTTGAGTGAAACAACGTAATTATCCAATCTGTAACTCATTCTGCTATATGATGTTTTTTGTTGATAATTCATCACAGGGGTGAGATATTCTGGAGGGCACTGCAAGTTCTAAGATGGTTTTAAAATCCAACATCAGATAATCATTTCAGACCCGTTCATTCTGATAAAAGAACTGCTTCCTCCTGTGAGTTGGAGGCCTTGCTTGGACTCGATGGGAGGTTGCCACGAGCAATGCCAGTGAGGCTCACAGGGCTCTGACTAGTCTGTGCAGAGAGATGCAAGACGCTTGCTCACTAGAGTCATCCAGTGTTTAACCATGCTTCCTTCTGTAAGCCCCTCAAAGCAACATGCTAGCTGCACGGATATTTTTAATCCTATGTTGTATGTCTCTGCGTCCTGCAGAGAGACAGCTGGAGGAGCCCGCGCATCAGGCACACAGAGAAGAGCCTTCTTCCCTCGGATTCAAAGCCCATCCTTCGCATCAGTTCAAAGCTCACTCGTATGTGAAATCAAGCTGTCACATGTGAGTTTCTTAGCAGAGACCTAGTCAAGCAGACATCTGAGCCAGTATTATCCTCTGCCATTTATCAAGATCATCAACACACCTCCTTTAAAAATAAAGGCAACCCATTGGAGGTCATACTGTATTGCCTATAAACACTGAATAAGTTTATTGTTAGATTAGAAAGAAAATCTTGCCAGTCATCTTAGTGAACCAGCCTCCATGCAAATGCATTATATATCTCCTTAAAAACACCTCCCAAAAGCTTGAAGAATCAAGAAAAAAGTTTCAAAGGAATAATTACAGCTGTAGAAATGCATTTATTTTAAATCAGAACTGACAGCCATAAAAAAAAAATCAAAGCATTTTAGCAGAAATAGAGCTAAAGGAAATGCACTTTGTTTTTTTGGCAGCAACATAAATGACTGCAGGGAGGACATGTCTCAAATCACACACTAGATTCCTTTCAAGCCAATAATCACAGCCTCAGTTGTTGCAGAGTTATGAGAAGCATGTCTCATTTGAGAAGCAAATTCCCTTCACTGCGATGCACATGCAATCCACAAACACACACGGGCTTAAATTAAATTTCTTGGACTGCGTCCCACTTGTAATTCAAGTGTAAAACACAGGTGTTTAAAAATAAACATTCCCCTGTAATACCTCACAAGTTTACTATGTGCTAAGAAGTTACTTGCACTGTCAACCTCTCTCAAAATCAAGTATGAGAGCCAGCCAAAAAGGGTGACAAATGTTGACACTATGAATAATGTTGTTTTCCTGCATACAGCAGATGTGTTTTAAACTTCACAGAGAAAAGAATCCTAGTTCCATTATAACTCTATGCACCCTACCAAATGTGTTAAAAACAAGGGACAAGGAATGTACAATCTAACTGAAATCAAGATGCTAATTTACAGGTTAGATATAAAATATGTTATCATTTCTATTTTGTCAAATAACCTGCACTCTTGGTTTAAAAAATGGAATTAATGAAATCAGTTGAGATTTTTTTCCTATCTAAAACTGCTCTATTGTTCATTGTACAATACCATTCCTACACCACCTTACAGTAAAGGAAAGATGAGGGATAAAGGTTTGCAAGGGTAACTGTAATGCTATTTTTATATTTCAGGGTTAGAAAGAATTGGCACTGATGAGTGCATTTCAAACCACGATAGAAATAAAATATAGATAGTAACTTGTAAAACCTCCAATTTACATTACAAATCAGACGAAATGTCCAGGTCTATGCAGCACCATCGTCTGTGATGATCCTGCGGTGAGGTGAAGTGGCCCTACTACATTGTAAACCAGCAGGCTTGTGAGTACATCTCTTCTAATCCAATAGAAATATTGAGGCGGTTATGCTACTTACTTGTTATCTCTGCATGCAGATCGTGTTGGAACATTTTTGCTGTGAAATGTCTACTGCACAACCTGCACTTATTCTCTCATACATCACATTAATGTGGCTCTGTGGTTAAGGATCTGCGCCTGTGACTGGAAGGTTGCCGGTTCAAATCCTGCGGCCGGCAGAGGAATCCTACTCCGTTGGGCCCCTGAGCAAGGCCCTTAACCCTAGCTGCTCCAGGGGCGCCGTACAATGGCAGACCCTGCGCTCTGACCCCCAGCTTCTCTCCCTGTCTGTGTGTCTGTGTCTCCATGGAGAAAAGCTGGGGTATGCGAAAAGACGAATTCCTAATGCAAGAAATTGTATAGGGCTAATAAAGAAACATTATCATTATCATTATTATTATCATCATTACAGTGACTAGTGAGCAGGAAGGGCCACTTCACATTGCAATTCATGTGAACTCTCGCTCTCAACAGCGGTTTGCGACATGGAGACAACACAGCACTTTCACAAAGTTTACAATTCTGTTCTTCATTCAGAATTTGTTCAATTTTGCGATACCATCAATTAATTTAAACACAACAAACATCTTGTAAATATATTGGGCACTTCACTTAATGGCTCGACAAACTGAAGTTAAGACACTTATTATTCATTAAACAAAACCTGTTTACTTCAAATTAAAAGGAGGACTGTTTTTTTTTTTGCTGCTGGATGCATTTTCTGATAAATACTGGAAACAACTTCCAATAAACAAAAGTCATGGACAGGGGAACAAGGGAAAACATTCTGGCACACTGAGGGTTAGCCATGCTCTCAGGCAATCTCCTTTTGATGTGATCTCTGCCTCTCTTGGAGTTTGAGAGTATGACCAATGCAGTATTGTGATTTGAAGTGCATTGTGCATTTAAAGTGTTAGGTGGCTTCTAAGATCTCCACTAATCCAAAAGCAATTAAATGTTCCCCTAGCCTGTACCAGCTCGGCAGTATGCGCGGCACCAGATTAGGAGACTTCAGTGCATTTAGCACGGTCCAGAGACAACAGTTACTAATAACTCTGTACTTTATTATTTCATTCCTCCAATGTTGCTATCACATCACTGCTCCAAAGCGAAAGTTTCCATTCTTCCTATTATTTTTAAGTCAGAGGTCAGCAACCAATGAACTGCTGTCCTGCACCGAGTGTTGCCTTTACCCCTGTAACATTAGTGGAAAATATGTCACAAATTCAATGACATCATCAACTACTATTTTCAGGATAACGGAGCATAAATGCTTTCTGATCTTCCAATTTAAAGCCAGGACTAATCTACCTAAATCCACTGCAAAAGCTAAACCCTTTTAAGCAGATTGGTTTCAAGTCCTTGGCAGGGTGATCAGAATGCATTTTTTGGTCTTCTTATGTCACCCAAGCTGACATCAAGAGAGAAAAATTAAACTTAGTTATATATATATAATTACACTAATTCAGTCAGAGAAGCTAAGGGCTTCTCTCCACTCTATGACTGGGGCGTTTTTCACAGTTCATGGGCTGACATTATAAATTAGAAAAGGTGCTTAATTACAACTGAGCCATTATGCAACATGGTTACCAAAACAAAACAATGACTGAACAAATGACAGCAGCTGTCTGATGAGAATTCGACGTCTTCTTCATTTAAGACCACAATACTGCTCTTGAGGCAAACTAGTGCAGCAACATTTCACATTCTGTCAAATACTGCGCTTTTTTAAATAGCTATTAGCCCTGTAACTTAAGATGGCACACCTGAACATGCACAGTCGAAACACTGCAGTTTTTCTTTCTACACTACATCGTGGAATTAAGCTTTACTTGTTGCGTCTCAGGCCTTTGACAGACTGCATTATTATACAATGCTGTATGTAACTGTACCTTAACAATGATATATAATACTGTAACATTACAATAAGTTATTGAATACAAAACAGCATAAATTAATGCTACAGAACAGGATGCTGTGCTTCTAAAAATGTCTGGGTCTGGCCCTAAGTGTCTGTGCTATTGAAGTTCCCTCAGTCTCCGAATGTCAGTTATTTGAAGCAGTACTTATTACAATGTCAATCCATGAGGATTTATTGTATCATAAAACACTGTTTTATCCATCATGAATCACCTCATCTCCTTGCAATCTATTCTGCACACAATGTTTTGCACTAGTATTACATACAGCTTATTGATGGTAAGACGATGCATTTTGCTAGTTATATTATAACCAGACTTTCCTTTTTAAATGGGTATTAAATCAGTTTAGAAAAAAAAATCAGTGCTAAAAATTCAAACCACATAGCTTCAACTGCAGTAGGCCTTACTGTGGTGCTCTTGGCACAAAAATGTTTTGCCTGGAGCAATAAATGCATTTGCATCAAAATTTAGTTTGTAATCCACACTTTTTTTCTGTTCTATGAAGAGGTTAATTTTTCCCCTCACGATTTAAACCAAGAAAAAAATCATCATCATGTGAATCAGTTCAGTTCATTTGTCATGTGCACAAGTGCAATGAAATGCTTATTTGCATGTATGCTCCAATGCGAAGACTTTAAGGAATCACAAAAAGAAACACAAAACAGTAGCACCAACAAGAACAAAGCTAAATAACACACAACTTAAATACAAGTCAGCAACACAAGCAGTGTGCAAAAAAAAACATCAGTGTGAGCCAGTGGTAGCGGTAGAGTTCAGTAATCTGACAGCTTGAGGGAAGAAGCAGTCTCTGGATCTAAAGGTATGTGCCTTTACGCTCCTGACGCTTACCAGAAGCCAGAGAAGAGAAAAGTGGGAAAGCAGGATGACTGTTATTCTTAACAATACTCCTGGCCTTCCTAACACAGCGAGTTGTGAAAATGTCCACAATCCAGGGGAGCAGTACTTTAATGTGGAACTGGGCCGGCCTGATCACCCCCTGTACTGCCTCTGGGTCAGACAACCAGCTGCTGGATAAACAGCACAACCTACCTCCACAACACAGGTGTAGTCGGACCCGTCGAGGAGGGTGACTTTGCACTGCATGTTCTTCGGTTTCTTCACGGATTTCAGCGGGGACTTGGAGAGCTTGCTCGACGACGACTTCTGAGACGCCTTGTCGTCCTCGAATTGTTGGTACTCGTGCTTCCCCAGTGGAGCTGCCTCTGCGTCTCCGTCTCCGTTCTGGGGGCAGACACATTCCCGCGATCAGATGCGGACATTGTGAACGGAGCAGGGAAACGTACGCCGAGCGCCGAGTCGGATGTCATGCTCAGGAACTGAAATACACCATTAGATGTAAAAATACCTACTTGCCCATTTCATTAAATCTTAAAGGCTTGATTTGGTGATGCTCAAGAGAATCAAAAGGAATTTGGGACAGAGTTGGCTTTTCTCTGATGAAATTTAAATATCACCATTTTCATGACCTCTAATGATAGTGAAGGTTTAGCACTAGAAAAGCCTTCAAATCCCAGACACTCAAGCAAGGATCAAAAAAGGTCACCAGCTCTAACTAAAACACCAGCAGCAAAGCTAACATAAATCCAGCAAATTATCTGCTTATTTTACAATCTGTTTTGGCACAATTAAATGTCAAGATGGTAAACCCAGCCAGGGGAGAGGAATAATTTAAAAAGGTTTTGAAAAGCATTTCCAGATTAAGAATTCTTCACCCTTCAGAAATGCAGAGCTTTGCTCTAAGAGGTATACCTGTAAGTTAACCATCTTTACGCCTTAGGATGCATGGGACCTATCTTGAAATGTAAAATGTCCTGAAAAGAACTAGCTGAAGGTGCTTTCACTGTAATTTCATGTGAATTACCCTGCCTGTTACAGCTTAGATTTGTTTTCATCATGACTCAGGGAAGGCAGGCAAAATGACATCTATATCCTGCCAATGAGAAATATTTTTAAACGCTGAATAACTCATGCAGGAATTGCAGGGAATTCATCACACTATGAATGAAATTTCACGAAAAGGTCATTTTAAAATAAAATTGTGGCATCTCACCTGTTTTTACAGAAACAATTACACTTCTTCCTTTCTTACATTTTATAAAGCTACCTGACTATACTGCACACTCGCAAAAGAACTGGAACACCACAGATGATAAAAAAATAAAACCTATTGCTCCTATTATTCATACTCTCCTGATTGCATACACAAACAACTTGATGGTAAAGCAAAAATAGGCACTGTATGTAGCGATACATTTAAAAGAAATGTAAACTGATAGGATTGTTAATGTGAACAGTAATTTATTGTAATGAGTTTTATATTTAAAAAATCATACTTGATCCACATAGCTTTGCTAATGCTGATGAAAAGACTATACCAGTCTCATAACACTAAACTGAAGGAAACCATCTGTAAAGGCCAGTTGTTTTTTTTTCTAAAATGATTTTCTGCCTGTGCCTTCCATGCATCTAAAGAAGTGCATCAGTTTTTTGTGTGGTTTCGTTTCTCTCTTATATTCTAATCTTTCTGAACATGAGGCAGATGTCTCCCACAAACCAGAGCGCCGTAATTGGATTTGGGAACTAAATCATTACCACAGCAGTTAAAACACAAAACACTGAACTGCTGTCGTAATAGCTTTGCCTCGTGATTATGAATAAACTGTGTATAGCAAGCGCAGACAGTCTTGGCAAGCGCTTAAAGAAAAGCAGTTGCTATGAAATGCCCTTGTGATCCTTAGGGCAAATGCCACAGTATAGTGCAGAGGTTTCCATGCCTTAAAAGAAACAGACATTCAAAAGAAATCAGACAGAGGGCCAGTGTAATCTATGACCACATGAAAAAAGCCATGAAATGTGTCTATGTGTCTGAGTTCTTTAGCGTCCTAGTTAAAACCAGTAGAGATTAAAAACAACTGATGTTTACCATCTCATTGCCCTAAATTATTCTTAGGAATCAACTCATTCCATTCCATTTTCAGACTATTCCTGGTTTGCCAACTGGTTGAACATGAGATCGCTGGCAGAAAAGAGACGTTACTGCCAGACACATTTGTGATCTTCATAGGAGTTGTCTGCACCGTCTGCATTCTTCTAGTTTGCAAAGAAATCACTTATAAACCTAATTTACTGTAAAGCAGTAATCGGAGACTGAAAGAGAGGAAATGGCATGAGACGCGCATCCGTTGTAAAACAAGAGAAACCAAAAAGTTTTCTGAAGGTCCGAATCATAGCTTTCATTCTTCCTTTTAAACCGCCTTCCTAGTAACTTTAAGAGGTGTTCTCAAAATTCTCGATGCAATGCATAATCATAATATGCCATCTAAGCAACTGCACAGAAAATCGAATGTAGAACAACTGTAATGTAGAAGATTTTACATGTTGGAAAAAATAAAACTGAAAAAAATGTAAAGTGTTTAAAAGGAATACTCCCACCACATGGATTAATTCTGCATATGCAAATTTCACATCTAAGAGTAGAATCTTTACCAGGTTCATCACAATATATATATTAAAGTAAAAAAGTAAGGCATGGACAGCATCTGGAATGTTTTAAATCAAAGACTACATTTTACAGCTTTCATAACATTTATAGCCTTATATTTGACTTGCAAAGAATATTTAATTCAAGCCTTTGCCACATGCACTGCAGAGTGCCCAAAATCTTAATATTAAGATTAAGAGGGTGTAAATAATAATTCATAGTGTATAAAATCAATACTAAAAAACTTAAACTGGAAAAAATAATAATTAAACGCGAAGTAACCGAAGCTGCAAGGATGTGCAAGCGATTCTGATGGCAAAGAGGAAGCAGGCACTGAGAAGGAAGCAGGAGAGCAGCCAGTGGCACCAGCTATCTCCTCTTTCTGGTGCCGTGCCATCGCGCTTCGCACTGAACGCCAAGATGCGGCTCCAACAGCTCAATCAGCACATCTGCGTGCTGCGAGGTGGAAGAAACCCAAGCGTGTCTCTTGGATACAGAAGCTGCGCTCTCGTCCTAGACGGGTCTAAGGCTCGTGCCGGGGACTCGCCTGCTCCTTCCTGACAGGAGTGCTGTGTGCCGCGGCGGCCGGGAAGGGCTCTCCGTCGGGCTGCTGGTTCTGGGCTGGGGGCGGCTGGCCTGCTCCGGCGCCTTCCTGCGGCTCCTGCTCCCGATCCTGCTTGGACTCCGAGTCTGATCCCGATTCGGTTGTCATGGCGTATTATTCTGCAAGAGAAAAACGGGCCGCATTTAACCAACGCTCTGAAGACACCGTCACAGAATCCCTTCCTTGTCTGTGGGCCTTTTTAAAAATGCGACTTGCCAATTCTTAACTGTTAAAGACACCCAACTGGGAACAGCCAGTTGTGCGTTTCCCCCCCCCCACACACACACACACACTTTTTTCACGCCTTGGCTCGCGGGGATGAACCACGCAATCGCACACGGGAGAGGGAGGAAGTGGGGGCAGACTCCACCCACCCGCCCGCCTCTGAGCCACATCTTTTAACAGGAGCCTGCAGGGGTCACCGTGTTGCAGAACCCTGGATAACTAGTCCCGTCCTAACCTGGGTTTCACTCCGCCACTAGTCTGACACCACCTGAGGGAAATCTGGTCACATCAGCTACTCAAATGACTCGGGCATGAACCCGAGCGTCTTTACTGACTGAGCCAATCGGGAGGCCCCTTGACGTTTCTTTTATGTATCAGACACAAATCCACATTGTAAAAAGCATTAAAGTGGGGAAAAAAAGCCCCCCAACCCCACCCCCGATTAGAACATTATGGCTGAGTAAGGCTTCATGATGCCGTACAGTACTTGGAAATAATAGATGAACTACTCAAAGATTTAGATAACGAGACTATGCCTGATTAATCTGCCTCATGGTGACGAGGCTGAAAGTGAAATCATATCATTGCAAACCCTGAATGAAATGGGGAGAACAGAACTGTTAGGCAAACTGAACAATTCTCCTTAATGAGGCAAGGCCAGGAATCTATACAGTGACAATTTCACACTTGTGCAACATATATTAGAAAAGCACATTTTTCTGTAAAGCATCATTTTCAGTTCTTCTTGTAGTAAGAACATAGAGACAAATCAACTGTTATTAGCTCAGAAAAAAAAACCTTTCTTAATCAGTGACAAAATATGGTTTCACATGAGGACAGAGTGAGAAAATCTCCCCAAAAAATCAAGGTATTAATATTCCAACACGGAGCAAGATCACCCAGCTCAGGAAAAAAACATAACATACAGTAATTTAGAAGAAGTGAATATAGGTTTGACCTATTTACAATCCATTATGCTTTTATCGAAGCTTGCCAAAGATGAATTTATAGCTGAACACAAGGAAATATTTAAAAATTCTTAATACTTCTGTGGTAATGTACTAGACATTAAGCGTGCTATTTCAAAATAGCAATTATTCACTTGCTGCATTGCACGCACCCGAAAAGCACTAAATGTCTGAGCAGTTGCCGAGAACAACCCATTTTTCATACTTCCAATCCATGATCCATCTTTTCAGAAAAGACTCAGTCCGTACAGGAAAACAATGGGCTTTTCAACAGGATAACCATGGTTACCTCAACATTTCCTGAGTGCATATTTGAGATAGGACAAGAGGATCTTTCCGTCTTCAGCCTTATTTTCGTGTAGCTAAACTATGTGTACCACACTGACATGTAATTAGGAGTTTTTTCAAGACAGCTGTCTATCCCCACTCTGCCCTTTGGATCGCTGTTGACTATTTTTAGCAATCTGTTTACCCTGGACTCTGCAAACAGAGTTCAAACCAGGCGCTCTCACTCTGGTTTACGATAAGGCTCTGGCTGCAATTTTGCTGAAGTATTATTGTAAGATGAAGGACCCTGAAGAACGCTGAAGACGCTGTGTAGACACAGATGAAGAGATGTCAGCAAAGCGTTCGAATCACGATACCGCACTGCTGAAACGGCATGGGGCCGCAATTTAAAACAAATGCTAAAATATTCAAGCTTCCGCACAAACATGATTTCCTTCCGTGGGTTACTGATTTTGGAAGATGGTGGGATTTGAACAAAATCGCCTAGGAGCTGAGGCTACGGCAACAGCTTCTCCATTAGAATATCCAAAAAGCAGAATGCAGAGATGCGAAATGACAAAACTTGTAAACACGAAGCGGCCACACAGCGATGAGGTCAACCACTGCGAGAGCATAAGCGTCTGTGGCGCAAAAGGAGGGCCACACCTATCTGTCACTGATGCTTCCCTGCTGATCCAACACAGCCATTAATCCAATATCCACGCTCTGAGCTACAACAACCTCTGAGGTGGCGCGGAGAATCTGTTTGTGGTGCCGGGCAGAGTCCCAGCCGGAAAGACTACTGGCTATAAATCCCAGAGGTCTGACAAGCGAAACAAAGGGGGTCCACAGCTGAAATCAGCCGCTTTAATTAAGTTTATTCATGTCAAGCAGCTTAGGCAAAGAATTACAGTGCACTTCACGCCACATATTAAAAAATTAGCCCAAGGCACTCACAAAACAGTGGGCGGTGGTCTTGTCATTATTATGATCATTAATTTCTTTTTTTCATATAAACGGAGCAGCCAGAGTCTGAGCTGCGACACACAGTGAATATGAGAACAGAATTACTTGGCTCTCCAGTGTTAGGGATATTGGCAGGGGTTGATCGGACAGAGGAGCCAGTAAAATATAAATAGATACGATATAAAATACTTCCTTAGAAGCTTTTGTCCATTAAAAGTAATGGCACATGACCATTGAGACTAAGATTAATAGCAATTCACTATAAGCACATTGATCCTGACTTGTTGTAAGAGAAAATCAGAGAAATTGAGAACAAATAAACAGATAAAGAAATCTCAAAGAAATACTCAAAACTTAAATACTCCAATCAACATGCTGTCTACATTATGATAAAACGAGAAAGTTTTTTTATTTTTCAAAGTGATGCTATTGCACCATTTTCTATATTGGCAAGAAACTGAAATTACGAAAATCTGTTTTTTTACATTTCTATCAGGGATAGGTGGACTTCTTCGAGAAATCGCCTTTTATAAATAATGTTTTATCATCGCTGCTGCAGTAAATGTCAATGCACACTGGAGTATTTCAGCTAACAATGCACTGCAATATGTCTTCACTCAAGAAAACAGTGTAACAGTTTTAGATTAACCAGGGAGCAGTTTCCAGACTATCTCATATAGGTCACAAAGTACCGCAGACTCCAACAAGAGCAAACTTCCTAGACAACCTCTATATCTTTTTTGCTCCTTTCAGACAGTCAAACTATCGAGAGATTTCTACTGCCTGGCCGAACTTGATCACTGAGTATGTGCACTGTGTATGAGGCCAAGACCATAAAGTCCCCAGCAAGGATCCACAAAAATGAAACGAATCATGTTACACGATTAGCGGAAAGAGGATGGAAAACAGAGCTCAACACAACAACAAAAATGGGTGTTTGCGTTAGAAACCTTTCCAGGGGGAAACAGGTTGGTGAATTACATCACCTGTATCACAACACGTCTTATACCTCCAGCGTCTTGCCAATCATGCCACGGCAACGTTTCTCTGAAGCGTTTCAATCCACCAACGCCCCAGAGATAAGTCTGTGAGCCCACCTCATGAAGGTGCTGTGGTTCATATTATCACATTATGTTTGCTTAGGAAGTAACAGTCAGTCTTCTGCTGAACAGTTGACTTCACTTCCTACACAGCTACAGAATGGAAAACGTCACTTAACCACCGCAATTACAACAAAATGCCAGGGGTGGCAAAAAAAAAGGTGAATTTGACAAAAGTGATGGTAAGGCACTGACAAAAGGTCAGCTGAGTTTCAGCCCCTCTCATTACATGTCCATGAAAAAGCAAGTTTCAGTTCCTTACATTTTACGTATGCTATGCTTCGTGTGGCCCAGATATGTAGCAATCAAATGCAACAGTACTTCCTTGCTGCACAGAACATCGTTCCCAGTCCCTCGTGACTTTTCAACGCTCATTCATTCCGAATACTGCGTGACGCTCCACAGCAACAGCCCAGTCTCCTTGGGCAAAATCAACCTTTTACCCACAAATGTATGCGTTGCTCATTGCAGCCTGCAAGCTTCCCTTTAAATTTAGACTCTGATTATCTGAAAGAAACATAATCGTAATAACAAGCAGTAGCCTGCTATACAGAACTGGAGTGTTGTGTCTATGTGTACAGTGTCTACTATACAGAGTGGAAAAAGAAACTGTTTTCGGATGCAAACTCTCTTGAGCACCTCTGCTCAAGAGAGTGTACTTCAGTTTTTGCAGTGCAGTGTCTAACTGCCTGCCTGCTGATTAATATACTGACAGCTGAGTGGGTCGGGAGCCCTCTGGACTCACTACAATCCTGCAGTGCTCCACTGCACACTAGGCTTAGAATCACTAGTACAAGATAGTTCATAATCATCAATTCACCTGGATTCATTGACTACTCCTTTGTCCACTGTTTCCTGGCTTAATCTGAGGGGAAGCTGTGCGATTCCTGCCGGAAAGCAGATGTCTAACTGAAAGGAGGGGAGGGGTGTCTAACTGGCAGAAAACCAACTGGTCACAAATACACTGCCACAGTCAAATAGTGAAGAAAGCTTTATAACATCCACGCTTTCTTTCTGCAGTTACTAAGAAAGAAATTCACGAATATCCCACGCACATTAACCATCAGTGTGAAACCTATGAGCTTGATTGGAAATGAGAGACTATAGCGCGGACTGCACTTTATCATGTCATACTGTAGGATTACAAGATATGTAGCAAAGCCTGAAAGTAAGTTAAAAGGCAGGAGATAAAGCACAGGTACACTCCACTATACATTGATTATTCTGTGGTAAAAGTTTTTCACAAATAAGCTGATGCTATATACCAAAATTTACTTTCCGTTTCCTGAATCTTCAGCCAAGTTATCAAGACAGCAGATGATCATGGAACTACTTGACTTTGCATTGTAAACACAGCATTTTACCCAATACTCTAATGCACTATGTAGTGCTATGCGCAACAATTTTAAACATGCAATGTACAGTAAATACTGAACTGTATTTATTTATAGTACAATGCTATTAATATTTTGCATGAAGCATCAAAGACAAAATCAACAGAAACCCCGCCATTAAAATAAATCTAAAGTTAAAAAAAAAAGATTAGTATGTACATCATTTTGTATTCTTATACTGGATGAATTTAAGAACAAT